CTGCTGACCGGCACCAGAATCTGGTCAACTCCATGGACCCCTTCCATCCATCCATCCATCCATCCATCCATCCATCCATCCATCCATCATTCCATCCATCCATCCATCCATCCATTCATTCATTCATTCATTCATTAGGAGGTGTGAATGTTTTGGTCACCAGTCTGTCACAAACTGTGTTTATGCAACTAAATATTAGTTTATGATTCTCAGGAGAGATGAAGCTTTCAGCATTTATTAGTTTGTTTTTGAGTTTGTAAAGAAATATCAACACTGCTGTTTTTAAACACTGTATTTCTTGACTTTCTGTAAAATATTCTGATATTCAATTAATTTTTCTTTTTGGCTTTGAAATAAAATGTGCAGTGACTCCACTGTATTTGTGTTCATAAAATAACATTTATTTGAAGAATTTTGAGGTTTACTCACCTTTATAAACACTATTATGAACATAACTGAATATATGTGTGTGTATCTCTGTACACGTGTGTGTGTCTCTGTGTGTGTGCAGGGCAGCAGGCTGTGGTGGGCCCAGTGTGTGTGTGTTGGTGTCTCAGTGTGTGTTACGGCTCTCAGAGTGTGTGTTCTCAGAGGATGGAGAGGAAACAGCGTGTTGTGTGTGACTGACCGCTCAGAGATGCACACCGGATACACACACTCTGAGGCTACACACACACAGGGACACACACACCCAGAGGACCCGGAGCCCCTCCCCCTCTCTGGCCCCGCCCACTCTGACCAAGTGCTGATGGACCTGGAGGAGGCGGAGCCTGAGGAGCTTCCTGTCCAATCAGGAGGGAGAATTAAACACTCCAGCGTCATCAGCTACCAGGTAGGAGGCCTCTGTGATTGGCTGTTTTTATCTAGGAGGTTTCTGATTGGCTTTTGTTATCTAGGAGGCCTCTGATTGGTTTTTAGTATAATATTAAAGATAACTTTCATATTTTTTTCCATCTGCCAACTCCAGTGTGAACCTGTTCATCTTAGAGCAGGAGATGCCAAATGTAGCGCTGATTTCAGATGCTGTGACTTCCTGTAAAATCAACACAATTTCACATCGTTGATGTGAGGAGCGGCCATATTGAACTGCTAATGGAGGAGCGGCCATATTGAACTGCTAATGGAGGAGCGGCCATATTGAACTGCTAATGGAGGAGCGGCCATATTGAACTGCTAATGGGAGGAGCGGCCATATGAAGTCGGCCTTGTAAATGGTAACTGGGTCAGTTGGAGCTGCACCCAGTTTCCCACTGGGAGATCTGACTTGTGTTCCTGGGGATTGGGATTAGGTCATGAGTCAGTCAGAATCTCCCTGTTCCCACTTGAACGCAGCATCATGTCTGTCTGTCTGCACCGGTTGTTTCTACTGTGGGACCCCAGAGGTCATGAACGAACGAATGTATAAAAATTAACTTTGTGTCAAAGTTTACATAAATATTCTCAAACTTTTTCCCTGCTGTGAAAATGTGCAGCAGCCAAACAAACTTTATCTGTGAACAATAATAAACTACAAAGAGTCAAAACTCACATAAATCCACTGATTCAGTTATTTAGACCAGGAATCAAACCTGATGTCTGTTCATGATTTTAATATTTTATTGTTTAAACGATGAAACTGAACCACATTTATCCTCAGACAATAACCTGAAAAATAAATAAACTAAAGGAAGGTAAAACTTCACTCCAATGTAAATAATAACTTCCTCAGTTTGTCTCATGAAGATGTAACTCATCGTCTGAAAGCATCTGAGGCTCATTTCATTCTGACTGGAGAGAAAACAGGCTGATCAGCAGATGGATCCACCAGGTTCGGTTCTGATCAGGAGACGATCAGGTCCATCAGCAGCTGATCCAGGTGAGCCGCTACCTGAGGAGCTTTGGCTCTGATGGAGAACATCTGAGGGATTCAGAGGAGGATTGATCACAGATCAGATCCATCTGATGGTCGATCAGCGTTTAGATTCATCCTGGAGCTCTGAGCAGAACTTAGAGCGGTACCAGCGGTACCGGTACCGGTCCAGCTGCAGCCGTCCTCCAGTGGAGCCGCCCGCTTTGTGAAAGCGCCTTATGGACAGAAAGCATCTCTACTCTGTGAATGCAGCTCCTGCTGCTGATTCCTGTCTGCAGAGCAAACGTCCACATTCAGAACCTCTCTGGTCTGTAGACCGGCTGGAGGCTCTGCTGCAGCAGCAGGTCCGACCCAGACAGCTTTACTGGTTACTGTGGAGGGGTTTCTTAAATTGTTTTTATGAGGCGACACTCTGTCCTGAAAGCACCTTTTAAATAACGTAATTATGATTAATATAAATACCATTCTGCTACCAGCCAGGACCGTTGCCATGGTTACTGCTTGGCAGCAGACTTCCAGGTATTTATACTAATTTACATTAATATGTGTTTATGGAGGCGACAGGCGGAGCAACAGCTGCTGGTTCCTGTAAATCAGGGTTAATAAAGGAAAGGTGCGAAGACCCCTTATGATGCACAAGAACTTTGGACTTAGTGTTTCCTCGCCCGGACGCGGGTCACCGGGGCCCCCCTCTGGAGCCAGGCCTGGAGGTGGGGCACGATGGTGAGCGCCTAGTGGCCTGGCTTTTACCCACGGAGCCCGGCCGGGCTCAGCCCGAAGAGGAGACATGGGTCCCCCTTCCAACGGGCTCACCACCTGTCGGAGGGGCCAAAGGGGTCGGGTGCAATGTGTTATGGGCGGCAGCCAAGGGAGGGGACCCTGGCGGTCTGATTCTCGGCTGCAGAAGCTGGCTCTTGGGACGTGGAACATCACCTCTCTGGTGGGGAAGGAACCGGAGCCGGTGTGCGAGGCTGAGAGGTTCTGACTAGAAATAGTCGGCCTCGCCTCGACGCATGGCTCTGGTTCTGGAACCAGTCTCCTTGAGAGGGGCTGGACGTACTTCCACTCTGGAGGTGCCCAAGGAGAGAGGCGCCGGGCAGGAGTGGGCATACTTGTTGCCCCCCATCTTGGCGCCTGTACGTTGGGGTTTACCCTGGTGAACGACAGGGTAGCCTCCCTCCGCCTACGGGTGGGGGGACGGGTTCTCATTGTTGTCTGTGCTTACGGGCCGAACAGCAGTTCAGATTACCCACCCTTCTTACAGTCCTTAGAGGGGGTACTGGAGAGTGCCCCTCCTGGGGACTCCCTTGTTCTGCTGGGGGACTTTAATGCTCACGTGGGCAATGACAGTGAGACCTGGAGGGGCGTGGTTGGGAGGAACGCCCCTCCGATCTGAACTCGAGTGATGTTCTGTTGTTGGACTTCTGTGCTCGTCACGGATTGTCCATCATGAACACCATGTTCAGGCATAAGGGTGTCCATATGTGCACTTGGCACCAGGACACCCTAGGCCACAGTTTGATGATCGACTTTGTCATCATTTCATCGGATCTGCGGCCGAATGTCTTGGACACTCGGGTGAAGAGAGGTGCGGCGCTGTCCACTGACCACTACCTGGTGGTGAGTTGGCTCCGGTGGTGGGAGGAAGCCGGTCAGACCTGGCAGGCCCAAACGTGTAGTGAGGGTCTGCTGGGAATGTCTGGCGGAGTCCCCTGTGAGATGGAGCTTCAACTCCCATCTCCGGCAGAACTTCGAACACGTTCCGAGGGAGGCAGGAGACATTGAGTCTGAGTGGACCATGTTCCGTGCCTCCATTGCCGAGGCGGCTTATCGGAGTTGCGGCCGCAGGGTTGTTGGTGCCTGTCGCGGCGGCAACCCTCGAACCCGTTGGTGGACACCTTCGGTGAGGGATGCTGTCAAGCTGAAGAAGGAGTCCTATCAGGCCTTTTTGGCCTGTGGGACTCCAGAAGCAGCTGGTGGGTACCGACGGGCGAAGCGGCACGCGGCTCGGGTGGCCACTGAGGCAAAAACTGGGGCGTGGGAGGAGTTTGGAGAGGCCATGGAGAAAGACTTCCGCATGGCTTTGAGGCGATTCTGGGCCACCATCTGGCGTCTCAGGAGGGGGAAGCAGTGCAGCACCAACATTGTTTATAGTGGGGATGGTGTGCTGCTGACCTCGACTCAGGACGTTGTGGGCCAGTGGCGGAATACTTCGAAGACCTCCTCAATCCCACCAACATGCCTTCTGTTGATGAAGCTGAGCCTGGTGTCTCTGGGTCGGGCTCTCCAATCTCTGGGGACGAGGTCGCCGAGGTGGTCAAAAAGCTCCTCGGTGGCAGGGCCCCGGGGGTGGATGAGATCTGCCCGGAGTTCCTTAAGGCTCTGGATGTTGTAGGGTTGTGTTGGCTCACGCGACTCTGCCATATCGCATGGACATCGGGGGCAGTTCCCCTGGATTGGCAGACTGGGGTGGTGGTCCCCCTGTTCAAAAAGGGGGACCAGAGGTGTGCTCCAATTACAGGGGGGTCACACTCTTAAGCCTCCCTGGTAAGGTCTATTCAGGGGTTCTGGAGAGGAAGGTCCGTCGGATAGTCGAACCACGGATTCAGGAAGAGCAGTGTGGTTTTTGTCCTGGTCGTGGAACACTGGACCAGCTCTACGCCCTCCACAGGGTCCTGGAGGGTGCATGGGAGTTCGCCCAACCGGTCTACATGTGTTTTGTGGACTTGGAGAAGGCGTTCGACCGTGTCCCCAGGGGGCCTTTGTGGGGGGTTCTCCGGGAGTATGGGGTACCGGGCCCTTTGATACGGGCTGTCAGGTCCCTGTACGACCGGTGTCAGAGTCTGGTCCGCATTGCCGGCAGTAAGTCGGGCTCGTTTCCGTTGAGAGTTGGACTCCGCCAAGGCAGCCCTTTGTCACCGATTCTGTTCACTACTTTCATGGACAGAATTTCTAGACCAGCCGAGGTGTTGAGGGGATCCGTTTTGGTGGCCTTAGGATCGCGTCTCTGCTT